TGAGGAGCATTGAATTAAATTGAATCGAATTGAGAGGAAAAGGGAATGATGAAAGGAGAGATTAAATCAAAAATTGAATGTAAAAGAAAGTTGCAAGCCGTACCAGAAGGCAGGTGGCGAGTGCATAGATGAAGGAGCGGTAGACGAAGGTGCGGCGGCGGTCGTGGCACACGGCCGCGGTCCAGGCGACGTCCATCCACAGGTCCGGCGAGGAGCACGAGCCACGCGAAGCCCTCCCGCACTGATGCCCAGTGCTGGGCCGCGTCCTGCGCGAGAAGCGGCTCCACGACCGTCTTCTGCACCTCCGACCACGTCGCCTGCAAGTCATCGAACTGGGCTGCCATCTTCCACGCCTGACCACGAACTCAATTTCGATATTTATTTATTTATTTTTTCATAATTAAATCTCGCGGTCAGCGCTGGGCGAGGACGTGTGCGATGGAGCGGACCATCACGCCGGGGTCGTTGCCGGGCGTCCACCCACCCGAGACGACCATCACCTGCGCCCCACATCGACAGTGTGAGTGTCTGGCCAGCCCAACCCTACCCTGGTGTGATTGATCATAGGCGTGGGCGCTCACCAAAGGAATGGAGTGCGTGTCGACGGCAAGCCGGAACACGAGCGCGTCCCTGTCCACCACCCAGGCCTCGCCTGCACACACACACACACACACACACACACACACACACACACACACACACACACACACACACACACACACACAGGTCGTTATAGCAAAGAGAGAAAGCGAAAGCGAAAGCGAAATACGAAGGTTGGGGGGAGGGTTGCCTTGCGTGGGGTCGGTGGGAGAGGAGCCGGAGATGTAGAAGACCATGTGTGGTCGGAAGGTGGTGATGGCCTTCTCGACCTCCGTCGCGACCCACTGCAGGTACTCCTCCTTCGGCATGCCCTGTCGCGGCACCCCCAGGCTGGCGCCGCGGACGTGCGCTCTGCTGCGCTTGTGCCCACTACGTAGAGAGAGAATAGGAGAGAGCGCGCGCGTCGTGTCAGTGACCACCAGGCGGCCCAGCCCCCGGCCCAGCGAGTCGTACTTGGGTTGGTCGGTGTGCGAGTCCACCAGGTACACGTTTTCGTCCAGGCCGAAGTCGGCGACAAACCCGTCACCTGCAGCCGTGTGCGTGACGTCAGCTAACATATTTCCATGCATGGTGGAGCGGTGCACGTGCCTTGCGTTGATGTGAGATCGACGATCAAGAATTTGGACACCTTGCCTCGCGATTTGTGTCGTACGTGCTTGATCGCGAGGGACACGTCGTTGAACAGACTGCCTTGGTTGGCCAACAGCAGAGAGTGAAAGCGATTGATTGAGTGAAAGTGGTGCGCAAAACGGTGCCGTCATTGCGCGGGTGCGCGTGGATCACTGCTGTGGCGCTGTACCTTGCGAACCCGAAGAAGCGGAGGCGTGGTGAAAGCCGCCTCCCAGGTTGATTGCCCAACCCCGCTCCAGCGCCACTCGGCTCGCCAGCACCGTACCGCCGACCGCCTCGAGCATGAACCCCGACTGCAGCAATCGATTATAATCAAACAAGACGACACAAGTATGTGTGTCACGTGTGCGGTGTGCGGTGTGTGGCGCCGTGTCGTGTGTTGTGTGTACCACAAAGGTGTGAATGACAAGGGATGGGAAGTAGCGCAGTGTGGGGTTGCCCAAGGCTTCGGCAAGGCGTCGGCTCTGGTTGAGCGACGTGAGGTACTCCTGCGTGTTGTACTCCTTCAGGTCCTCTTTTGTCGGCACCTCTGCGTCGGGTGGGTGTAGGCGAGTGCATCAGTAGACGACCACACCGACACACGACACACACACGACACGACACACGACACACACGACACACACCAGGCATGATGAACTGGTCCGCCTTGATGACGCCCTTCTCGACAAGGCCCTGTGCCAGCTCCCCGTGATACTTGCGGTCCTGCAGGGTCAGCGGGAGCGGCAGCAGCCTAGGCATGCCATGCCGTTAGCGCCTCGTGCAAGGGGGGGGAGGCACCAAGGTGGTGGCTACGTACCGCTCCAGGCCCCACCAGTTCTGGTCATAGTCATCGGAGTAGACCACGGGCCGCTTGTCGTTGCGCAGTCGGTCCAGGCTATAGCAGGGCTCGTCGCCCAGCCCGTTCAGCCATGCTTGGTGTGGGCCAAGAAGTAGACAGTAGAGCAGCTTTTGTGTCAAAAAAAAAGTACAACGACGTTGCGCTACTGCTTCTGGTGAAGAGGTGGTGCGTACCGGACTGGGAGAAGTAGAAGGTGGAGGTGCCTGCGATGGTGAGGGCTAGCAGGCGCACGCCCCACGAGGGACGGAACCGGACCGAACCCACCCCCAGCGGCGGCGGTGGAGGTGGCGACCGGCTCGCAAAGCCCCGCAGGGGGCGCCCCACCCGGCTTGGTGCCAAGCTGGAGCGGCCACTCGTGGTGCCTGCCCACGACAAGATGCCGCCTGAAGCCGTCGAGTGCAGCCTCCCTCCGGCGCCGTGCCCACCTCGTCGCCGCTGCATCACAATAAATCAAAAGAATAAATTCATTTATTGTTCTTTTCAATTTGAATGGCCGAGGACGGGGTGGGGCTTGTAGGGGGCCTCGAGGTAGGTGACCTCGTCGGCGGTGAGCTTGACCTGGACGGCCGCCGCCGCCTCCTCGAGTTGGTAGAGCTTGGTGGCGCCCACGATCGGCGCCGTCACGTTGGGCTTGCTCAGGAGCCACCCAAGCGCTACTTGCGCCGGCTTAGAGAAGAAGAGCGTGTGTGTGAGCTCATCAAGATCACGAAAGTGTGAATGAGTCATCATGCGATGATGATCGAGCAGCTGTCGTCTTCTTGTACCTTGACGTTCTTCTTGTCGGCCACCTCGCTGAGCCGCTCGATGATGTCGAAGTTGTCGTCGACGTCGCTCTTCAGGTACATGTAGTGGGTGGCGCTGTCCTTCACGAAACGATTGGAGGTGTCGGCGCTCTGTAGTAGAAGCAGCGCAACAACAGCGCACAATTCATCAAGATCGACCCACGCGATGGTAGTGAAGAAGAACGAAAGCAGAAGAAGAAGAAGAAGAAGAAGGGACGGAAGGGGCGTACGTCGGCCTTCTTGGAGAAGAGGGCGGCGAGTTCGGCCTGGCTCGGGCGCTTGATCCGCCCGGTAAGCAGACCGCGTGCGAGCGGGCTCCACGGCAGCACGCCCAGGCCCTGATCGGCACAGAATGGAATCATCTCTGCACACGCCCAGGTGGACCGGTCAGTTTAGTGAAGTGACACACACACGCACGCGCGCGCACACACACACACACACACACACACACACACACACACACACACACACACACACACACACACGACACACAACCGCCAGTACGGGAGAATCGTTACCACGCTCCTCTTCGCGGTAGATGAGGTTGTAGTGGTTCTGCATGGACACGAACGGAGTGAAGCCCCTCTTCTGCGCCGCGAACTGTGCCTTGGCCAGCTGCCACGCGAACATCGACGACGCGCCGATGTACCGCACCTTGCCCGACCTGTGTGCCATCAGTGGCCAACGGAGATAGAGATCAGCGTTTGGTCGCACGCTTGTGTGTCGTGTGTCGTGTGTCGTGTGTCGTGTGTCGTGTGTCGTGTGTCGTGTGTCGTGTGTCGTGTGTCGTGTGTCGTGTGTCGTGTGTCGTGTGTCGTGTGTCGTGTGTGTGGTACCGGACGAGGTCGTGCAGTGCCTCCATGGTCTCCTCAATGGGCGTGTGCTTGTCCCACCGGTGGATCTGGTAGAGATCGATGTAGTCCGTTCCGAGGCGCTTCAGCGACCCCTCCACCGCCGACATGATCGCCTTCCTCTGTTGTCGACCACGCAAAGGAGAGAAAAAGCAGAAAAGAAACGGTGGTTTTAGCTGCCCGACCGCGCAAGCACAAGCCAAAGGATAGAGCGGGTACGGAGAGGCCTTGGGTGTTGGGCTTGGCCGGCACGTGGGGGCCGTCCATCCCCAGGAAGCACTTGGTGGCGATCACCACCTCGTCTCGCGAGGGAGCAAAGTCCCGGATGGCGGCGCCCAGGATCTCTTCGCTCGTTCCTGCAGTGCAGCCCAAACAACAAACGCGTAAGCCGGTCACTGCGGAAGACGATTGTAGTGGACAAGCTGTCACAGGGAGAGGGAGAGAAGAGGCCGGGCGTACCGGCGGCGTAGGCGTTGGCGGTGTCGAAGAAGTTGATGCCCAGCTCGAGGGCGCGCTTCACGAAGGGACGAGCCTCCTCTTCGGGCAGCACCCAGTCGGGCCACTTAGCGTCGCCCGTCTGTGGGTCGTTAAGAAATATATTTCTAAATATATAAATATAAATAAACAAAAAATAATGGTTTGCACGTACCTTGCCGTAGGACATCATGCCGAGGCAGATGCGAGACCTGAAGGCCAGTGTTGCCCAACCGTGTGTATTCCATACCGCCGGCGGGAGTCGTGGTGGTGGTGGAGGACATGAGCGGTAGTGTTGTGAGTCCCGTTGTGTGCCCCTGAATTTATGGGTCCACAGCGCAGCTTTTGGCGGTCTATGATTGGCGCTCGTTTTTCTGAAATTCCCTGTCCACTCACAACAAATTCCAACCGCCGCTTTTTTGTGTGGAAAGCCCTTCCTCTGGGGAAATAGTGCCAGTTCGCCGAGTACAGTCACACACCAACTTGCAGCTGTGGTCTTGTAATAATATAGTATATCTACAACATAAAAGAACATCAAAAGAACATATGTGCGTGTCGTGTCATGTCTTGTCGTGTCGTGTGATGACCTCTTCATCTACACGGCCACAGCTTCCAGCTCTAGAGGTCGGCGAGGTAGCCCACCTCCTCGCAGGTCTCGCCCTCCTTCTCGACCAGGGCCGTGTAGACGTCGAAGAAGTTGGTCTCCCGCACCCCTCGGTTCCCGCCGGCGTTCCAGCTGTAGAGCACGCCGCGGTCGTCGAACTTGAAGATCTGGTCGTAGACCAGTATCAGGTCCTCGCCCAACAGCCGCATCGTCACCGTGATGTCCTCCGCGTAGTGCGCACCACAGAGCCGCTTGGACCTTGGCATGAGCGAAAGATGTGATTGAGTTCGTTCGTTCATTCATTCTCTTTTGCTGGTGGTGGTGGTGGTGGTGTTTACAGCCACACAATGACACAAAGACGAGGCGGGTGTACCACTGCTGGAGCACAGGATCCCACCCGACGGTTTCGAACGACGGCGGGTGGAAGGGGACATACGGACCGGCCGTGCTGCATTTGGGCAGAAACGCACGTGTCAGGAGTCGTGCGTGTGTCGTGCGTGTCGTGCGGTGGTGCGCGCGTACCTGGCTGTGGACGAGAGGCTGCCGTCCTTGCTGGGCGGTGAGCTGAGGTCGCGGTTGCTCCTGCTGCCCTGGCCCAGTCGAGTCGCGCCCGAATCCGACTTCTCCTTGGAGGTCCCTCGCACGACCCGCGGCGACAGGAACGACGACAGCGACGCCATGATCGAAGTGTTGGCCGCGCCCGTGGCCGCCATGGCCTTGTCGGCGTCATTGCCCAGGCCGCCGCCCACCAGCTGGGCCGCCGCCCGGGCGTTGCGCTCGCGCTCGATCCACTTGGGCGAGCGCGAGTGCAGGTACTGCACCTTGACCACCGAGAAGCGGCCCGTGGGCGGCGACGCGCAGTCGCGCTTGCGGTCCGCCTCCTCCTCGGCCAGGTCGCGGAACGACGACACGCGCGACGACGTGTGCGATCGCGGCGTGGACGGGGTCGAGGTCGAGTGTGGCGGCGACGGCGCGCGGTTCTGGATCTCGATCCTCCGCGCGGCCGCCGACGACTTGGTTCGCTTTCGCTTCTCTCGCTTGCTCCCCTTCTCCTTCTCCTTTTCCTTGCCCTTTTCCTTCTCTTTCTCCTTGCCTTTCCGCGTCGCCTTGGGGCCGGCCGAGCGCTTCTTGGACGCGCCGTCACTGGACGCCCGCGCTTTAGTGGTACCAGCGCCGCCGCTCGCCTCGCCGAAGGCCTTCGCCCAGTCCTCGTCTTCGTCGCCGTCGGTCCGCTCGCTCTTGCTGTCGTTGCTCTCCTCGCCGACGCCGCCGCCGACCTTCAGGGTCAGGGTGGTCGGCTCCTCCTCCGTCTCGAACCCGTCGCCCCAGTCGTCCTCCTTGTCCTCCTCCCACCGGTCGAGCGACCCCAGGTTGAGCTTCAGCCCCGCGTCGCCGTCCTTCTTCGCGCCCTGCTGCTGCTGCTCCTCCTCCTGGTCGAACTCCTTGCCCCAGTCCTCGTCCTCGCTCTCTTCCGCGGCCTTCTTGTTCTCCTTCGCGGCGCCTCCCTTGGTGCTCCCCGCAGTCGTGACCACCTTGGGCGTCTCGGCCGCAGCCGCGAATTCCTTGTCCCAGTCTTCGTCCTCGTCCTCCTCATTCTCGGTCGAGGCCAGCAACAACTTGCTGGCCTCCTGCGGCTTGTTGCCTTTTTCCTTGCCTTCATCTTCGGCCGCCAGCTCCTTGTCCCAGTCTTCGTCTTCGCTTTCGGCGTCGCTCTCCTTCGCTTTCGTCTTCGCTTTCGTCTTCGCGTTCGACGTCACCGCCGCTTTCGCTTTCTCTGGTCGCTCGTCGCCCTGCTTCTTCGTCTCCTCTTCGGCCGCCAGCTCCTTGTCCCAGTCCTCGTCCTCATCACTCTCCTCCACAACCGCCTTCGCCTTGGCCTCCTTGACGCTCTCGGACATCATCTTGCTGACGGTCGTCTCCGGACTGTTGCCGCCGAACTCCCTGTCCCAGTCTTCCTCGTCCTCCTCCTCGGCCTCCTTGAGGCCGCCCTTCTTGTCGCTCGCGAGCTGGAGCTCCTTGTCCCAGTCCTCGTCGTCGTCGCTCCCCTCCACCACCAGCCCTTCGCCGGGTCCCACCAGCTTGATGTGATTGCCGCCCGACGCATCGTTGCTGCTGTGCTTCTTCTTAGTGTCCTTCGCCAGATCCTTGTCCCAGTCCTCGCCCTCGTCGCTCTCCTCGATCACGAGCTCGCCGTCGGCGCCGAACAGGAGGATGTCGGTGGTGGCCTTCGTAGGCGGCGGCGAGGACTCGGTCGTCGCCGACTTGGCCTTGAGCGTGATCGGCGCCGAGGCCTTCCGCTCCTCCTTCCCGCTGCCGCTTTCGTTGCCGGTCGTCGACGCGTGGGCGCTATGTCGCTGTCCGGCCCCGGTGTTGACGCTGCGTTTGGTAGTCGCCGCCGCGCCACCAAACGGGCCGGCGAGAGTGGACTTGGTGGTCGAGTCGCCGCTCGCGGGCGCCAGATCGCTGCTGGGCCGCCGTATGAGGCTATCGCCGGTGTCGATGCGGCTGGACTTGGAGCCCAGCGAGCGACTGGGCTTGGCCTGGCCGCCGCGGCCCGCGGCCGACCACGAGACCTCCTCGCAGATCACCACCGTGAAGGGGTCGCCGCTCATCATTCGCCGCCGGATGGCGCTCACGCCAGGCTCGCCGATCTTGGGCGGCGGGGCCATGGAGAGCTTGCGCAGGTGCTCGCGCACCCGCTCGTCCACCTCCTGCGGTCGCCGTCGGCCACTGGTCGGCTCCTCGGCCGTCGCTGAGTCGGCCTGGCGCTTGATGGTGCTGGTCAGCAGGCTGGCGCCGCCCACCATCGATCCGGGTCTGGAGACCACCTTCTTGCTGCTGCGCTTCTCCTTCTTGCCCGCCGTGGCGCCCGAGTCGCTGCTCTCCTTAGTGCTCTTCTTGCTTTTCTTGAGCTTCTTGGTGTTGGACTGCTTCTTCTTCTGCTGCTGCTGCTCACCGTCTTTCTTGGGCGGCTGCTGCGTCTCGTCCCTCTTGGCCCTCTCCTTCCTCGCCGAGCCCGATCGCTTCTTGCGCTTCGAGGACTCGCTCTCGCCCTTCTCCCACTCCTCCTTGCCCTCCTCGCCCTTTTCCCGCTCCTCCCTTTCCTTTTCCTTCTTTTTCTTACGCGCCACGGCGCCCTCGGTGAGCGACTTGAGCGCGTCGGGGTTCTTCTCGCGCTCCTTCTCCATCGTCGATACCAGATTCTTGTACCTGGCGATCAGCCCGCCCTTCTTTCGATCGGTCGAGTCCGTCGAGGCCTTCTTGTCGCCGCTCGGCACTGCTTCCTTCGATGGTGCGGCCGCCTCGCTCTTTCCTCCCGTGGCGCCGCCACTGCTGCTCGAGTTGGACAGCTGCGCGGCGCCGTCGCTCAGGACCCGATACAGGACGGCGGTTCCGGTCAGGTCCTGGCCACCCGACGATGACCCACCGGGTCCGTCCGCGCGTTCGCCGACGCTCTTGCGCCGCGTCTTGGTGGTCGGGTCGGATCCCGTCGCGACCGCGACTGCCAGCAGCGCCTCGTCGGCAGCCTGCGCGGCCATGTTCTTCGCGAGCGCCCGATCCCTGTTCTCGCTCGGCTCTGCGTCGATTCGGACCACGACGTCGGGTGCGACGCGGCCGCTCTTCTCGGACGTCCCGTGGTGCGAGGTGCTGCTCTTCGCACCTTCTTCGCCGTCATTTCGTTCCGTGTGATGTTTCGCGGCGGGTTGTTTGTTGTCGCTGACTCCTCCTCCCTCTGCTCTCGCCTTGTCGTTGTCCGGCTCCTTGTCGTCGGTCGTCTTATCGCCGACGCCGTTGCTCGTCGACCCGGCAGAGTGGTGGTCACTCATCGTGCTGCTGCTGCTGCTGGCGGTGGTGGCGGTGGTGCACTGGAAGTCGGGCAGTAGTGTGCGGTTGCGCGATTTCCTGGTCTCTCGGTCTTCCTTGCGCTGCCTCCGTCGTTCCTCGGCGATGCTGCTGCCCGGTTGTTGCTGTTGTTGTTGCAGTTGCTCCTCCTTCTCCTCGCCCGTCGTGTCGTCGCCTGGCGCGTCGGTCGTCGAGCCTGTGCCTCTGATGAGCTGCTCCTCCTGCTCCTCGGAAAGCTGCTGGTGGATGTTGGGATCCGACGAGCTGCGAAACTTGAAGCCGACCGGCGATCGGTTGAAGTCGTTGATGTGCTGCTTGGAGGCGTCCTTGAAGAAGCGGAGGTTGCGCACGAAGCGCGACTTACGTTCGGTCTCGAGCTGGCTGGTCGCGGGGAAGAGGTGCGGTAGCGATCCGGACGCTGTGGAAGAAGAAGAGGAGGAGGAAGAAGAGGGCAACGTTGACTCGGCCGAGGCCGAAGACGCGAGCGAAGAGGAAGACGGCGATCTGTGCGACAGCGACGACGCAGCAGCTGCGGCGCTGGTGGGTCGCGGAGCCGAGTTGGAGAGTGGAGAGGCCTTACGCGCAGGGGGAACGGGTGAAGAGTAAGGCGAGGAGTTTTGAGATGGCGCTGGCGTTGGTGGAGGTGCAGAGGCGGCAAAAGATGGAGCTTGCTTGGGAGTGGGAGTGGTCGTAGGAGCGGAACCGGGATTGGGGGTGGCACGTGAGAGGAAAAATCTGATTTTGTCCTTCACTCCCCCGCTTTCCATCCGCTGGGCACTCGAGGACTTGCTGGATTACAACACCTTCACCAACGTTGTCGCGGTGTGTCCGGTGACTTAGTACTGCACGGCAGACCAAGAATTAATTATTATAATTTAAATATTATAATCCGAGTGATTGGCATTACGTGATCAACAAAGAAGGCCATACATAAATAGCATCCACATTTCAACGCCGAAACTCAGATGCCCCCCCCCAAGTAATCTGGTAATGGTGGTACCTTGGTCGTTGAAATCAGCTTAGAAGTGCTATGCAGGCGGTGCATACGGGCCTAGCGCAGCGTTGATGTTGTTGTTTGTTCTCTCTATGCCAATTGCTTTTGTGTCCTCTCGCCTGAATCAAATCCTGGTGGTCAGGGGAGACAGCTCGTCGACATAAAATGATTTTTGGGCGACAGCACAGACGAGGCGCTGCGGTCGAACCGTTCGGTTGACGCCGCCAAGGTCGCGCAAGGAGGCCAAGACAAGAAGAAGCCAACGGCCACGCCTGCCGCCTTGATCGATGAGGTTGGTGGAGGCAGCTCACTGACCACAGATCGGTAGATTGCGGCAACGGTCTTCGGAAGGTTGTTGGCCAGTGGGCGTGTTCAAGTTTGTTCGCCAGCGCCGATAGGTGCATCGCGGGCGACAAATATCAAATAATTATCTCTCTGCCAATTCTCTGTTCCAAGGCTACACAACAAGAGGAGAACTGACATCGAGCCAGTCAGGAGCATGAGCGGGGCGAAGGAGAAGAAGCAGCGGAGCAAGGAAAAGGCAAAGCCGGAGGAGAAGGAGAAGGAGAAGAAGAGCAACAAGAGTCGAAGCGAGGGCGAGGGCGAAGAGCCGACCAACAAGATCAAGCGGCGGCGCAGCTTCAGGTTGAGCAGAGGCGCCACCAACAAGGAGGTGAACAAGGCCTTCGCCAAAGAGGAGGAGAAAGCGAAGGAGAAGGAGAGCAAGCAGAAGAGGCTCTCCAAGTCCACGTCCGCCATCGCCTCTGCTGCCCTTACCGACCGGCACGTGAAGAGCGACGGCGACGAGCCGGAGAAGGGAGGCGACAAGTCAGGGGGCAGCCGTATCCATCATAAGAAGAAGGCGGGCCAAGAAGAAGGAGAAGTGAGCAAGAAGAAGTCAACGCAAGTTGTCGATAAGGAGCCTGGGTCTTCTTCTTTCGTCACAGCGGCGGACAGCAGCGATAACAAGGACATCATGGAAAAGGACAGGGGGAAGCGGAAGAGTAAATCGGATGACGAATGGGAGAGGGTGAAGCGCCTGATCGACGAGGCAGAAGCGCAGAAGGGGCGGGCAGTGAAGGAGGCCGAGGTCGTGGATGAGGCGGTGGCCTACTACGCCCAGAAAGCGGAAACGCCCAGGAAGGACGGCACGGCCGCATCGAGCTTTGCGCCCGCATCGTCGTCATCTTCATCTTCCAGGAAGCGGTTAACGGTATCCCTCGGCCCTGGCGCCTCGCCTCGGAGCAATGCGATGGGCAGCAACAGAATGAATACGAACGCGCGTCGAGTCTCGAATGAGCTCAACATCAAGGTCCAGCAATTCAACATCGAGAAGGAGGGCGTGTTCAAGAGCTTCAAGTATCAACAGCTGCCACCCCTGCGCGTCAAGCCCCTCTCATCGCAGTCAAATGTGATCGAATTGTTCGGCCCCAGCGATGAGCCGGGAGCCGCGAATCGGGCGGAGATGCTGCCCTCAGGCGACGTCTACTGCCGCGCCATCTCGACCTACCCCTGGGACATGCATGCCTCGGCCCAGGCCGAGAAGGCCGCTGCCGCCGCCGTGGCGGCCGACCCTGCGGGAGGGCTGAACACTAACTGGAGCCAGGTGTTCGAGGGCGTCAACATCGTTTCCTCGGCTGATGGCAAGACCAAGGCCGGAGCCCGACCCAAGGTATCCTTCCTTGTCAGTCTCATCAGCACCACTAGAGTGGTGCAACTCATGCATGCCACTCTTCTTGCAGGTGCCGGTGAACAAGGTCAAGCGCGTGGGCGACCCCATCTGCGACGTCTTTGGCGTTCAGGTCTTCGCCAACCGCACGCTGGTCGCACTTGCCGACGGCTGCAACTGGGGAGAGAAGCCCAAGAAAGGTGAGAATCGAGAGTCCCGGTGTCTTTCCATCGATCGTCTGGTGGAGGGGCGTGCACTGTGCCCCATTCATCCACTCACGCCCACTTGCTTCACGCAACAGCTGCTCAAACGGCGTGTCAGGCCTTCCTGGAACACATGAAGAGCAAGTTCGGCCAGGTGAACGATATCAAGGTCAGTGCGTTTCTCGATTGATTGGCACGTCTTCTTCTTCGGATTCATTCGCTGATCGCAATCGGGCTCTCTCTCGATGAACAGACGGCGGGCCACTACATGCTCCGCGCTCTGGCCCATGCCCACACGCAGATCATGAACACCTGCGCTCGCGACGCCCAGGCCAGCGGCAAAACGATGAAGTGCGTTCCGGCCTCTCCAAAGTGCAAGGCCTGCATCGGCTGACTCTTATTAATCGCTTGCCACTCTACAGGGTGACTGATGGCGGCACCACCACGCTGTTGGGCGGCATCCTTTTGGAGCTGGAGGAGGTACGTGCGCACGCGTGCTCACACTCCATTTTGTTAGGTTGCTCACCGAGTGACAATGTTTTATTGTCGGTGCAGTCCGAAGCGGAGCAGTTGGGCAGCCAGTGGGTGTTCGTCTGCGTGAGCGTGGGCGACTGCAAGGCCTATCTCTACTCCCCGTCCTCCAGGCAGGTCATCGACGTCACTCGCGCGTACGCCCTCCCCCCGTACACGTTCACGCTCGTTTTGCGCAGTCTTACTCACATTCGCGAGCTTCCTCTTGCGTGTGAAGCGGCAATCGCTCGGCCAAGGCGGACATGAGCGATCCTGGTGGCCGGCTGGGACCCACCGTACGGCGCCTCTTTCAGGCCCCTTCTCGCACCTCGCCCCACTCATCTCACCGAGGCCCCACGTTCGCGCAGGTTGGTCGCGGAGGCGACGCCGATTTGCGCAATCTGGGCCTGTACATGGCCCCGTGCGAAGAGGACTCGCTGCTTCTGGTGGTGTCTGACGGCGTACACGACAACCTCGACCCCGAGGTACCCACCGCTCCCCACCCGCTTGATTGGTGGAAAAGATTAGATGATTTAATTAATCTTCTTTTTCCGGGTCCGGCTGACTTTGCCCGCGCTCTGCCTTGTCGTGCACGACAGCACTTGGGCCTCAGCCCCAACGACGTGGGCGTGGACCAGGACAAGTGGGACAGCAACTTCGAGGCCCTCGAGAAGGCGAAGCACCTCTTCCGTTCGAGCTGCCTCATGCAGAAAATTCGCGGCTCCAACGAGGAGGTTCGTCGCTCTTTGCTTGTCCCCCCCCCGCGACGCACCCCAATGTTTTTTGATTTGCTTCTGGTTGAGCGCTAACCGGTGCTCGGGCACCATGTCGCCGCACTGTACCAGGTGCGACCCACGCCTGAGGATGCGGTCAACCGGCTGTTGGATCACTGCAAACACGTCACCCAAAGGTGGGGTCTCCAACGCCTCCGTTGCGGTGCTTGGTTGGTTGGTCGCTAAAACTCACGCCTTGCGGGCTTCTTTTATTGGAACCACCAGGTCGCGTCAGTGGATGATGGCCAATCCGACGAGGCGATTGCCCAATGATCACATCAAGTACGACCATCATCCTCACCCAGCTGGCCCTGTACTGGCTCTCATACGTCCACAACCCTGTACAGCTTCCCCGGCAAGATGGACCACACGAGCTGCATTGCTGTGACCGTGGGCAGGCGGCAGCAGCCCAAGGAGGGCGGAAGCTCCATCATTATGCCGGCCCCCGTCCAAGGTGCGTGCCACACCCATGCATGGTCTCCATTTCTATTCCCCATTTTCCCAATAGCCACCTATATATCTATAGCCTCACCTTCTTGCGCGCGCGCGCGATTGCCTTGCAATCTGGCCGGCATTCGCTGCCGCCTTGTTTTTGGGCTCTGCGCACCAAATCGAATCCACGCAACACACACACACACAACAGATGCGGCCCAGAATGCCAAGAAGCAAGCACACTCCAGTGATGCTGCTGTTGCTGCTGGCTCAGCTAACACGCCCATCACAGTCACCGTGGCACAGAACGAGCAGCAAGTCGCGGTCGTCTGCCGCACGCTCTTGATCAACAACCTTTCGTGCTCGGTGCAGGGCAGGAAGATCGAGTTCACGCTCCGCAACCCCGACGCCACGGCCACCAAGTCGGCGTCGATCGTGCCCTCGGGCTTCCGCGTCGTCGGCGACAACGAGGTCGAGGCCAAGAAGTGGAAGCGCGTCGTGGACCTTCCGTGCCGCGTCGCCCTCGACTCCCAGCAGACCAAGCAGCTCGACGACCACACCATCCTCTTCACCTTCACCAAGGCCCTCTGATTGGTGCCTAGGCCTACTCGCGCCCTTGCCCAGGGTTCATTTTTGCTCGAAACACCCCCCCCCCTCAACCCCATGTACCCGTATACAAACATGAGCTCTACCGCTACTCGTATCAAATCAATGACTCTCCCTCACCTCACTACAACAAATCACTCCTTTGTGATACAAATCCTTCCCTTCTTCAGGACCTGGTGTGCGCCACCATCAGGAGCAGGGACGGGCGCTTGAAAGAAGAAATAGAAAAGAAACATGTAGGGAAAAAAAGGCATTAATACGTGCCAAGCCAGATGGACGCTGGGCAGCTGAAGGGAGAGGGCAATGCGGCCTTCCGTAGACGGGACTATGCGGAAGCGGTGCGGCTCTACTCGCTCGCGCTGGCCCGGCCGACGGCTGACACTGACTCCGCCGACCCCATTGCCGAACAAGCGCTCACCAACAGGTCTCATCCCCCCCCCCCGACTTTCGTCTTCGTTATGTTGACTGTAAGCGGTGCCTTTGTTCTTTTGGCCCACGTTTACGTTTGGAAGGAGTGCGGCGTACGCAGCGTGTGGGATGGCGACCGAGGCGCTGGCCGATGCCGACCGCGCCATCGCCCTCGCGCCACGGCATGTCAAGGTGCGGCGAAGCCGACAGACAACACGCATTACACACACAACAGTGACGACGCACCTGCGACTTGGTGTAGGCCTTGGAGTGCTGATGACCGCCACCACTTGGCTGTGGGTACAGGCCCACTACCGGAGGGGAGCGAGCCTGATGGAGCTGCACCGCTATCGGGAAGCCGTGGAGGCCCTCCAGGCGGCCGAAGCGCTCGAGGCCGCCGACCGCGACATCACTCGTCAGCTCCGCCTCGCGCGCGAGTACCTCGCCCTGGTGAGTACCCACACATGCCCTGGCCCAGGCTTGCGTTGTCTCACCACCGGGCTTACGTTATTGACATGGACCGCTGGTAGGATGAACGCCATCGCGAGGGCCTACCATTCGCGCCTTTCCCGGTCCAGGCCGGCCACCTGCCCACCAAGGGCCGAGCGCTCTTCGCAACACGGTACCTAGCTTCTGTTGTCTCGATGGTCCGTCGTCATTCTGGCGGCTGACCCATCACCGACCGACGGCCACAGGACGCTTCGGCCCGGAGACCTGATCCTGCGTTGCGCCCCCACAGCCGGTACTCGCTCGCCCGCATCAACTTGCACCCCTGCCCGTGGTCTCACCGAAGCTTCTTCTGCTTCTTGCCTGGAATGGCCCAGTGGTGTTGGACGACGAGTGCTTGCTGGAGTACTGCAGCCGTTGCCTTACGCCACTCGGCAGCGTCACGGTGCGCCAAGACTATCGCACACGGCCCTCTGGCCGTTTCCTCATCAGCGCGTGCAGGGCCACGAGGCTCCCCCGTGCGCCGATTGTCAGATGCACGTCCTCTGCCTCTACTGCGCCGCGAACCAGGTACCCACCCTCCTCCCGCTGGCCCGTGTTTGCGCTGCCGCTGGTGACAAAGCAAACTACACACGCGGAAGGAAGCACTTGCGATCCACGCTGGCGAGTGCCGCATGATGCAGACCCTTCTCCAACAGACCAAGAACCAGGGATCCTATCACAGGTAACCCCCGCCATATATATATTTATATAAATATAAACAACTGTGGGTTTATATCAAAGGGACATTCGGTTGGCGATGCGCGCCTTGATCTATCGCGCCCGAGGCCACCAGCGAGAAATCCTGCAGGACCACGAGAGGCCAAGCCCCGAAGCCGAAGGCAGTGACGACGACAACGACGATACGGAAGAGGCGAATGGAGAGATGGAGGGATGGTGGACGCGAGACGCAAGCGAGGCGGCGTTCGACGGTCGGTCGCTGGTGGAGCACCACGACCGACTGGCAGCTGAGGTGCGGGAGGGGTTTCGGCAGCAGGCCCGCAACGTGCGGTGGCTGGCCGCCCATGGACCCGGCCTCGCGCTCCCCGACGCCGACGAGACCGTCGCGCGCCTCTTCGCAGTGGCCCAGGCCAACGCGCTCACCCTCACCGACCCCTCGTCCCTGCGGCCCATCGGTGCGCACTCCCCAGCCCATCAGCCCATCACCCCTTGCCCTCGCCTTGATCTCTCGGAGCTAAATAGACAATCGTTTCAACTCGGATCGCCTCAGGTCAGGGTCTCTACGCCTCGGCAGCGCTGCTCAACCATTCGTGCCTGCCCAACGCCAACTGGTCTGTCGGTTCGTTGCCTCTTCTCTTTTTTCTTCTTCGCTGCGTCGACGCCACAGCCTGACACCCAGGCCGCGGCCCGCACTGGTGTCTGCAGACGGTGAGGGCCGGCTGTGCGTGCGGGCCGTGCGGCCGATCGAGGCGGGCGAAGAGGTGACGGTGGCCTATGTCGACCCCACGCTGCCCTACCACGCCCGTCAGCAGGCGCTGCAGGACCACTTCTTCTTCGCCTGCCGCTGCCTCCAATGCCGGCCGCCGCCTCTCGCCCTCCGGTACTCTTCCTTACTCTTCCTCCTCCCATTCGTTGATGCCACGTCAGCAGCTGTTGCCGCCGCAGTCGATTGGTCTCTCTCTCTGAAAAGCTTGGCCTGTTGGTCGGGTTCAGGGACCACTTCGTGGCGGATGAGCTGATGGTGATGGTCAAGTGCCCCAACACAATGGACGATGACCGCAGCGGCAGCGACAATGACGACGCCGACGACCAACACGAACAGCAGCGGGAGGAGAACGTGAGCATATGCGGGCACGGGATGGTCACCATCGCCGTACGCCCCACGAGCGGCGACACCAACGACGAGTGCGAGGGCCGGCTCGAGTGCGTGGAGTGCGGGTACGAGCTGCCGGGCGACTACGCGCGGTCGGTCGAAGCCCTGGTCAGCGAGCGGGCGCTCGCGCGACTCACACGGCGCGACGAGGCCGCTGATGCTGGCGATACGACTGAGACGGCCGAAACCGAGTACGCGGGGCTGGTGGAGGCGATCGAGGAGGGCATGGGCCTGCTGCACCCGTGCCACCAGTCGCTGCGGACGATGGTCGAGCACCTCCACTTCGCCGCCCACGCGCGGGGCGACGCGCTGATGCAGGTCTACGCCGCGCAGACCCTCGTTCACACATTCCACGCATACCTCCGACATCCGCGGCTCCACCTCCACGTCGCACTCCTCCACCTCCTCTCTGGCCACGCCCTCATCTCGGCCTCTACCATCGGCACCACACCAACTTCATCTTCATCATCATCGTCACCACTTCATCAACTTCATCATCAATCCAGCGCGGCATCGTGGTCGTCAGACGAGTCGCCGCTGCGCCTGGGCGTGCCGTCGGTCTTTGCCGCACGGCTGGGGGCCGAGCGCGAGAACTGGCCCGCGATCGGGACCGAGTACCTGCGCACGGCCCGCCGGCACCTCCGGCTCCTCCTGGGCCGGCGACACTGGCTGCCCCTCGCCGCCGGGCGCTGTCTCAAGGGCCAGTGCCACCGGCGGCAGCCCGCCTCCGCCTCCGCCTGCGCATTGGTCCAGGCCTACATCTGACAGCCAGGCTTCATTGGTGAGGTCCGGACAAGAGAGCCCATGACATGATGATGGACTGATCGCGAGTGTTCAAAGAGAAGCTGACCAGAATTCGATTTGATTGGTCCGACGCGACGGTTGACGGGCGGGGAAAGGAGGTGCCAAGGGCCACAACCAACAACAAAAAAGAAGAACGAACAAGAACGAACACGGGAGAGAGCGTGCAGCCTGAAAGGACGATTGTGCGAGCTGGACCTTCGTTTTCGTTCTTTTGCGGGCACATGGGTGGTCGCCTTCTTCGTTCTTTGTTCGGCCTCGCATTGCTTGCGGGGCTGTTCGCCGTCGCCTCCTCCTCCACGGGTGTCGGCGTGCCCACCACTACCTACAACGACCAAGTACCTCCCTCCCCTCATTACTTTTTTGTATTTGCTTTCCATTTATTTATTTGGTGATTATTCTGTTTTCTTTTATTTATTTATTGTTATTTATATATATATATATTTGGTTTTTTGCAGTTCCCAGGCGGTGTGGAGTCATATCGCGGGCGCCGTGCGGTCGATGAGAGCACCCAGTGCGTGTACGTGGCCTCGCTCAAGACGTCGATGGACTCGGGCAACGTCGGGCTCAAGGGCTCGGTGGTGGCCTACAACGAGAGCGGGCTGGCGGTGGCCACCTTCACCTCCATGCCGCTCGCCGTAGCCGTCGATCCCGTCAGCTACAGCCTCTTCGTCTCCACGCCCGCCAACATCCAGCAGTACCCCATTGCCCCACTCCCGTTCCACTTTCTTTCGCGCCTTCTGACTGAGCCGTGTGTCGTGTGTCGTGTCGTTGGTCGTGTGTCGTGTCGTTGGTCGTGTGCAGATACGACATCAGCGCGAACCTGGCGAGTGGTCAGATGTCGTGTCCGTGCTCCTTTTCCACCCTCTCGGTCGGCGAGAGCGTCATCCAGTTACGTCACACTCCTCCCCTCTAGAGAGGCTGCCATGCGTTCTTCGAAGCCTCGTGACTGACCTGTGCGCGGCGCATTGTTCAAAAATAAATATATAAATAAATAAATAAAATAGGGCGATGGCGGTGGCCCAGACGACCGAGAGGCTGTACTTCGCCACGCACTCCACCGTCTGCTGGCGCCTCATCAGCGGGTCCGAGATCTACTGTCAATCCTACGACACGTCGGGCTACACCTTCAACGAGATCTACATTCCTCCGCGTACTGACCACCCACTCCCACTCCACCCCCTCCTGTGGTCGTTCCCCCTCCTTTTTTTATAGGCTGATTGATCGGTGGGGTGGATGACGGGCGCGGGCGCAGAGGCGGGTCGCATGTTCATCACCATGAACGACGTGCCCAGCGTGTACGTCATTTCCCTGGCGCTGGACAGCACCTACCTCAACCTCGAGGCGGTGTGGACCCCGCTGAACTCCAGCGCGTTCATCGGTGCGAACTACGACACCGCACAACCGTGTGAGTGATCGTTTGTTTATCGAAATTCGTTCAATCACACACACACGACAGGCATTACATCGGGCCGCTCGGGCAACCTGTTCCTGTTGACGACGATGCAGATCGGGCAGCCCTGCGCGGCGATCGAGGTGGATTCAAACAACGGCAACGTGGTGGCGTGCTTTAACCCGCCGCTGGCCAGACGGGCCTTCTTCCAGGCCAACTACGGACTCCTCTACAACAACGCGACCGACCTCTTCTACACCTTCATCGCTTCGGCAAATGCCAACACGACGGGCAACAGCTCCGCTGGGACCTACGACGTACGTCATCGTGCGACTTTAACTCGCCGCACGCTTTAATGCTCACCCTCGAACACACACGCACGCACACGCACACGCACACACACACACACGCACACACAACACGCACAACACGCACGCACGCACACCACAACCGCACGCGCGACACAACAGATCCAGATGTTTGATTTGCAGCCTTCGGCGATGACTCCGGGCCAGCTGGAGAACACGGTGATAAGCTACCTGGTGCTCAACATCAGCTCGCCGGTAGACGGCACGCTCGGGCCGTGCCCGCGCCCGGCCAGCCCGAGTCCGAGCCCGCTGGTCAAGTCCGCCGGCTCGGACGTCAACGCCGTCGCCATTGCCGTGCCGGTGGCGATCGGCTCCACGCTGTTGTTTGTTCTTGCGGCGTTCCTGATCGGCACCGCCTGTTGGGTGATGGGCAAGCGACGGCGCAAGTACTTTGATTCTACGGACGGCGCGGGCGACGGGGACCCCGAAGACCCTGCCGGCGTGGAGATGGACAGCCACAAGTTCACCTTCAGGTAAGTGCCCTCTTTTACCGCCTGTCGGAGCTAAAAGTTGCAGTGGAGCTGAAACTCCGATGACCGGTGTTGGTACGCGCAGGGAGATTGATGGAAAGGACCTGCGGCTGGGCAAACTGCTGGGCGAGGGCGCGTTCGGTAAGGTCTACAAGGGCGAGTACCGGTACGTGGGCCTCAGATTGGCGAGAAGCCGTGGCCTACAGCTACTCACCACTGCTTGTTTACCCGTACGTGAAGAGGGGCGGTGGTGGCGGTGAAGATTTTCGAGGCGCTGCGGCTCGATCAGGCCGACGAGAAGGTGCTCAACGAGCTGCGAACGGAGGCGCAGATGATGGAGCGCCTGTCCAACCACCCCGGCATCGTCAAATTCGTCGGCGCGATCACCCGAGGTTGGCTCCTCCCCCGCTCAGCCCCAGTTCCCCTTTTTCCACCCCTCTGGGCGGCTTTTGTTGTCTCACCACGCCCACGTTGCTGTGTGCCGCACAGGCGACGATGGCGCCAACTTTGCGCTGGTGACGGAGTTCTGTCCGCGCGGCTCTCTCTACGACCTGCTGGTACTTGACCCCCCCACACTCACTGTGGGTCAGTCCTAATCTTACGGCCGTTTCCTCCACGATAGGTGAAGAACAAGAAGAAGCTGCCGCTCATCACGCTCGTGCGCATGGCGCGCGATGCCGCGTCGGGCATTCTCCATCTCCACAAGGTACAGACACCGTCTTCCAGCCACTCGCGCGCTTGGAATGGTGGTGGTGAGAGAGCGGGTGTTCACTGAGATGCGTGTGAAACCAGGAACACATCGTGCACAGAGACATCGCAGCACGCAACATTTTAGTGGGCCAGAACTATGGTGAGCACTCATCACCCCCCCCCCACGGGGGTTCTCACTTATGTTTACACGCTGACGCCGTTGTGTTCTGCCGCGAATTCCGAATGGGCAGAGGTGTATGTCTCGGACTTTGGGCTGGCGCGAGCCCAGGAGGCCGACGGCCAGGTGGCCACCACGAAACAGAACTTTGGTCCCCTCGCCGTACGCGCTAATCCCGCCCTTACCACCTGGACCTGCAATTCATGAATCGCTAAAGGCACCTGGCAATCCGCACAGTGGATGGCGCCAGAGGCTTTGAAGTCCCGCGAGTACTCCGAAGCCACCGACGCCTTCTCGTTCGGTGTACTCCTCTGGTACGACACGACACGACACGACACGACGCACGACACGACACGACACACACGTTTCTAACCTTTTTCGGCTGATGTTGATTTCAAGGGAGATGATGGCGAGAAAGCGACCGTGGGCGGGGGTGGAGCCGGTGCAGATCATCACGTCGGTGACGTCCAACACCCGACTCAGGATTCCCAAGGACTGCGACCCCATCTTCGCCCAGCTCATGAAGATGTGCTGGCGCCAGAACCCCTCGCAACGGTACTCTTGCTGGCTCACGCACCACCGCACACGACACCACCGCACACGCACACGCGCCACCGCACATGCGCTTGGCTCACGTCACTGGGCGTGCGTGTAGGCCGTCGTTTGACAAGGTGGCCGACGTGCTCTCGAAATACTACAAGCAGCTGCACAAGCTGCACGACATTAGCGCCGACGCCTTCGAGATCAGCGATCAGGAGAGCGAGGGCGAATCCGAAGGTATGCGTGCCACGTTGGTCACGCCGCACGTGCGCAGTTCGTTCGTTTGTTCGTTCGTTCGTTTACACATCGTCGACGTGTGCACAGATGAGATGGCGCTCGAGGGTCTGAGCTACGAGGAGTGGCAGATGAAGCGCATCAAGGACGAGGTCAAGTCCTTCATGAAGCAGCTCATCACCGAGGTACTTACCACGAGAGAGCGTGTAGAAGGCATTC